TGCTTGGTCTAGGGGTGGAAGGCCCCTCTTTTAGGTTGGGTGGAGATGAGTTTTGGGAATATCCTGTATAAAGTAACAACCTCATCTTGAGTCTCGTGGGTGACACCTGTTTCTAACCCCCAAGACAGGGTTTCTCTGTGCAGCCTTTGCTGCCTGGAACTTAATCTGTAGACCAGACTGGCCTCCAACTTCGATGGCCACCATACCCAGCTTGTTTCTACTTATTTGCTGCTGCAATGTGGCCGTCCCAACCCTCCACTGTCACAGAAATGGCACCAGTCACGTCTTCCTGCAACAAAGGATTACTGCCTGCAACTTCGAGCTAGAATCAACGTCTCTCTCCTTAAGCTGTCCCTGTCGGATATTCTGTCTCAGCAAAAATTAATACACTTGTGGTCATTAAAACTGACAGGTGAGTCACCTGTCATCTCAGCACTTGGTAGCCTGAGGCCGGAGTATTACCATGAGTTTGAGACTAGTGGGGATATGCAGTGAGATCCTATCACAGAAAACCAAGTCAAAACAAACAAACAAATAAAAAACCCAAACAGACTTTTTTAAAAAAGATTTATTTTATGTATATGAGTACACTGCCACTCTCTTCAGACACACCAGAAGAGGGCATCAGATCCCATTAGAGATGGTTGTGAGCCACCAAATGGGTGCTGGGAATTGAACTCAGGACCCCTGGAAGAGCAGTCAGTGCTCATAACCACTGAGCCATCTCTCTAGCCCCCCAAACAAACTTTTGTTGGGTAAATATGGGATGTGTGTTTCCCAAGTTGCTCATGACTTCATGGTACATTTTATAATTGTAATGAAAAAAATTAAATACTTCCCCTTGCCACTCCTCATTGTCCTTGTACCTTTCATCAAAGATCCTGTTGTGTTGGGGGTACACTGTGTGAAGATGCATTTCTGCATATTCAATTGTTAATTCTGCACCAGGGAGAGCTAAGCACTGGCCATATCTTGGTATTGTTATTTCTCTTCTTTTCTTTCTTTCTTTCTTTCTTTCTTTCTTTCTTTCTTTCTTTCTTTCTTTCTCTCTCTCTCTCTCTCTCTCTCTCTCTCTCTCTCTTTCTTTCTTTTTTCTTTTTTTTGGTTTTTCTGAGTCAGGGTTTCTCTGTGTAGCCCTGGCTGTCCTGGAACTCACTCTGTAGACCAGGCTGGCCTCAAACTCAGAAATCCGCCTGCCTCTGCCTCCCAAGTGCTGGGATTAAAGGCGAGTGCCACCACCGCCCGGTGGTATTGTTATTTCTATGGTCCACCACTGGTCTCATATTTTGTAAATACTTGTTCCCTCCTCACCTGTCTAAAGCAATCTAGAATTGTATCTGATTTGCTTTAATAAAGAGCTGATGGCCAATAGCTGCACAGGACGTGGAAGGCAGACTTCTGGGCAGAGAGAGGGACTCTGGGAGAAGAATAGAGAGGTGAGATTCACCAGCAGACATGGAGGTGGATGAATGGACCAGAGTGGTAGAGCTGGCCACATGGTGGGGCATAGGCCAGGATTAGTCAGGATAGAGTAGTTGGGAAGATTGCCTGGCTAAGGCCTAAGCCTTAAAACATTAGTAAGCCTCTGTGTCCTTGTTTATATTGCTGGCGGGTCTAAAAAAGTCCTGTTATATTGTTGGCCAAGCTGAGATCGAGTCTACATTCCCACTCATTTGGAGAAGTGGCTCCACTTAAATACTCCGCTACTGTTGGCCTCACATCCACATGCATACTGACTGGATTATTGAAACAGTAAGACGTGAAACGTGTGTGTGTGTGTGTGTGTGTGTGTGTGTGTGTGTGTGTGTGTGTGCAAATCGGGACAGAACAGATTACAAGATAAATGAAATGACCCTTGGGCAGGGGCCTGCCTGTTAAAGATGAATCTGCATCAGCGAACGACTCAGTGAAACACAGAAGAGCTAGCACAGGCTTCATTCTGTAATGGTTAACACTTCTAAACTGTTTGTGGTGGTTGGTATAAGAATGGCCTCCATAGGTTCATGTTTGCAAACTTTGTTAGGATACCTGAAACTGTTTGGGAAAGAGTAGGAGGCGTGGCCTTGTTAGAAGACATAACAGGGCATGTCTTAGTTACTTTCCTATTGCCATGAGTTACTTTTTTTAAAGTTTGAGATTCATGGTTGCAGCCTGGTAGGCGTGGCAGTTGAACACTAGCTGAAAGCGTATATCTGATCCTTGAATAAGAGGCAAGAAACACCAGGAATGATGTGGGCTTTTGAAGTCTTGAGGACAATGAATATCAATGCTTGCTCTAAAGACAGCCATGTCTTATTAGGGAGAAACATTCACTGTGAGTCAAAACTTCAAAAATACTGTTAAAGTGTGTAAGAAGCCAGCTGGCTCTCATGGACTTGGGTATAACTGTCATGATGTAGCCCCATGATGTACTGCCTCATGCTGAGTTTAAGATTTATCTTTTTTCTCTTCAAAAACTCCCAACACTGGATACATATTAGACTTCTAGAGAGTTCTAATTCGTCTCGTGCACCTTTGCAAACTTGGCTCCAGGAGTGCATCGATACAGACTTGGTGGTATGAGTTGGTGGAAAAATGCCTTTTGCCAGGTGACTTTCGAGTTCAAGGCCCACCTAGTCTACACAGTGAATTCTAGGGCAGCCAGGCCTACATAGTGAGACCCTATTTTTATTTATTTATTTTTAAAAAATGCCTTTTGTATGCCTTCATGCATGAAAGGTAAAATTCCTCCAGATCTTAGGCCTCCAGGTGACTGTAGGAATGGTGACGCATAGTGGCATTTGACCCCTCTCTCTGAGGACTTGGACTATTTCAGCACTTTGGATAACCAGTTTGAAAGCTGGGCATACAGAGTGACCAATCACAGGGATTCACTTCGAAAGACTTCTTTTTATTTATGTGGGTGTACATGCGGGAAGCCGGAAGTGGGTGTCAGATCCCATGGAGTTGGAATTGGAAGTGGTTGTGAGTTGTGAGTTGTCCCATGTGGGTGCTAGGAACCGAATTTGGGTTATCTGGAAGAACAGCTAGTACTCTTAACCACTGGGCCAGCTCTCCAGCTGGGGATACGCCCACTTGTGTTTTGACCTCCTTACTAATGAACAGAGGTCACTTAATGTTGTCATATCCGTGTGAGTCATTTGCATACCTGAGGGCTGACACTGAGCATGATCTTGGTGGAGGTGCAGGGGAAGGGGGCTGGAGAGCTGCACTAGTTTAGATGGTAGACTGGAAAATGGATTGTCTTAGTCAGGGTTTCTAGTCCTGCACAAACATCATGTTCAAGATGTAACTTGGGGAGGAAAGGGTTTATTCAGCTTACACTTCTACACTGCTGTTCATCACCAAAATCAGGACTGGAACTCAAGCAGGTCAGGAAACGGGAGCTGATGCAGAGGTCATGGAGGGATGTTACTTACTGGCTTGCTCAGCTTGCTTTCTTATAGAACCCAAGACTACCAAGCCAGGGATGGCACCACCCACAAGGGGTCCTCCCACCTTTGATCACTAATTGAGAAAATGTTTTACAGCTGGATCTCATGGAGGCATTTCTTCAAGGGAGGCTCCTTTCTCTGTGATAACTCCAGCTTGTGTCAAGTTGACACAAACCCAGCCAGTACAAGGATCTTCAAGGAGCTGGATACTCGGTCGTGCTTTTACAAGAATCCAGGTGAAAGCCTGGGAGACTGGCTGGGGAGGCCAGGAAGGCCAGCAGAAGCCTGTGCATGCCCTTTTCTCACAGCCAAGACAGACAGATGTCATGTACCTTCAGAGTGATGGGTGCCATGAAAGTGAACCAGGTAGGGGCAGAGGGCAGTGCTGGGAAGGGACTGTGCAGATGGGTGCTTAGATCATGACCCAGGGAGAGAGCTGGAGCAGAGCTTGGTTAAGAACCTAAGGTAGGAATGAGCTCAGTGGGCAGGGCAGGGCAGGGCAGGGCAGGGCAGGGCAGGGCAGGGCAGGGCAGGGCAGGGCTCAGGTGCAGGGAGGAAACAGTTACTCAGAGCTCAGAACTGCCTGGGGATGCTGTTCCCATGGGAAATGCAGGGGAGAGGAGATGAGGATGGAGGGTTTATGAACGGTGCTGTTAGAAGAGGCTCAGAGAAATCAGATCAGGAAGAGACAGGTGTGGGTGACTGAGCCAAATACGTTCTTTCTGTGAGTAAGTCTAACTCTAGACCATGCTGGCCTTCAACTCAGAGATCCATCTGCTTCTGCCTCCTGATAGCTGATTAGTGGTATTCACCATCACAGAAAGTTCATGCCACTTTCTCGTGTACAGAGTGCTTTGGTCAGTAGTCCCCTTTGGCTGATATCTTACCATTAGCCTTCTTTTGCCAAGGGCTTCAGTCACCACTCATGGCTCAGTTCACAGCCCCAGGGAACTGCTGTGGCAGGAATGCCCCCCCCCCCAATTTTTGATGTTGAAATCCTCATGTCCAGTATCAAGCCCCAAAGAGCCACCTGTCACCTTTTTACCACACAGACCTCCTGGAGACTTGATGCCCCTAATGGTGAAAAACAAGCTTCCACTGTAGTCTACCCAGTTCATGGGTAGAGACTGCTTTTGGATTTAGTGACATTTTGAGGTGCACGTAGGGTCAGAACTATACCAGGTAGATAGGCTGCCTGGCCTGGGCCAGTCTGATGGCAGAGGCGCTCCCCACAGTGACGGTGAGGTGAACAGGAGATGAACAGCAGACGCCAGGGAAGGAGGCACTTAACTCAGGAGTGTTCAGTGGATCAGTGGAGCTGGCAAATGGTGCCCGAGCGAGGCCCTGCAAGTGGGCAGCTGGAGGATGAAGGGAAGCAGTAATTGTACTTCACCTCAGACAGATGGAAGTCTGCTGCCAGCCAGAGAGCTGCTGGAGGAGTCTCCTCCCTCCTAGCTCCTGGCCACTCAGAAGCCTTTCAGGAAGAAGAGCTATGGTTTTTCTTCCTCTTTCCAGGTTAGAGCCTGGAGTTCAGGTAAAAAAGAAGGATCCAAAAGACGCCAAAGGTGGTGTTTCTCTCTTTTATTTAAAAACAGTGCTTCATTACCATTTGCAAAGGCTGAGGCAGGGCCCCTCCTTTGCTAAGAGTTTATAAAAGCCAGCAACATGATCAATAATTTATACACATGGAGAGTAATACAAAAAATAATGAATAAAAGCTAAAGGTCTAACTACTCCAACCTTCACAATTCCAGCTACTTGATAATAGGAGTAACCCAATGAATACTGTATGGTCTGAAAGCTACTATACAATATGATTCTTAAGGAGGAGGAGGGAGGGAGGGAGGGAGGGAGGGAGGGAGTTAGAGACTGTCACAAAGCCCTGGGTGCTTCTCTGGAGTTAGCAGGGAAACAGGACCTTGGGCAAGCAGCTCGGGTGTCCTAGGAAGTGACTCTGGGAGAGGATGGGAGGGATGGAGACACAGCTGGGTGGTCAACTGGGCAAGCATCCGCGGATGCCCCCATGTCCCAGTGGTACCTGTCCTGCCATGGGGAAACCACATGTGCTAGGCAGGCCACTCCCTGCCACAGGGGTGTGGAGAAGAGCGAGGTTCTGTGGTACTTTGAGCCTTGAAAAGATAAGAGACTCAAAAACTGAGAGCCTCAGTTCACTCTGTAGCTCTAACTTAGACGTGTCAGCCCCAGGGTGGCTCTAGCTATTCACAAGCTGAATGCTGATAGAGGGAAAAGTCATGTCTCTTAGGGGAAAAAAAGGATCAGTTCATCACTCGATATATAATGCAGCCAAAATGAGCTGCCCAACAAGCACGCACACAAAAAATACTGTGAACAGAAAACACAAGCAAACAGCTAAGCTAGGAGTCCTGATGGGGACGGACAGCGATTAAAGCACACCAGTCCCCGGATAAAACAAACCAAAAGCATTTTCTGAAAAACTCAAAAACTCGCGTGCCCCTGGGAATCTGGCATTGGTAACCGGAAGAGGGAGGGAGGGAAAGAGCATTGCTGTTCCCTTTTTGCCTGCCAGGATGAGTGCAGCCCTCCCAGTGCTGGCATGTACAGAGGGCTGCCCCCTAGGTGGGAGATCTCTGTCAAGGCAAGGTCGAGTTTCGGCTGATGGGCAGTTCTCAGTTACCAATCCCCGCCAGCCAGCACCACCATGGCTGAACTCATTGACCGTTTTCCTGAGTACACTGTAACTGGCTACAGTTTCGGTAACTTGCATAAGAACATGGCTTCCACAGCCAACCACAATACTTCAGGGACCCGTGCCCCCTAGCTCACTTCTATTGCCTCGCTGAAGAGTTTGGCAACCTGTGGTAGTTGGTGAGCATTTTGAAAGGAAAGTTGCCAAGGGACTGTTCTGCACCCAGTAACCTAGAGGGCACATGCTGGCTTAGGACACCCAGAGCCTGCTTGGGATGGGGTCCTGTTTCCCGCTCTAGCCCAGGGATGGCAATTGCCTGGCTGATGAGGAAGCAAGGAGAGAGGCGGTACACAGGAGAGGGAAGGGTGGGAAGAGGCTTCGGACAGCAACATTTCCAAAAATATAGTGTTTTATGCAACAGAGAATCAAGTGTCACTGGTGTATACTACAAATGATCAGACATTCTCAAGAGCATGACAAAATAAACCACACGTTTACATTAGATGTTCACCGTGCCCACTATTGTTTCCTATCTGAAAACAGTGCAAACAGGTAACTTATGCTTTAAAACACCACGACCCCTTCCCCACCCCCCAAAGTCCCTTTCCTCCTAATATCCAGGGGAAAAGTCTGCAACTTTGCAAACATTGCCATGCTAGAGTTTTTTGAGTAGTGGAGAACTGGCTGGGCCAAAGGGGAAGGTTCACCAGGCAGCTTCCCATCCTTCCGGGCACACCTGTGTCCCAGACTGCCCTTGGTTGGCCTTGTTCGCCTGGCACAGGGAGGGGCACACTATGCTCTTCTTGCATAGCCTCATATCCTTCTCATCTTACAGTCCCTTGTGTCTGGAAGCTACATGACTAGGTACAGGATGGAGGTGGTCACGGACCTGCTGGCTGCGCCTCTAAGAAAGCACAGCCTAAACTAAATAATTCAGCCCCTGAGGAGTCCACGTTTGAGGAAAAGCCACAAGCTCTCCTTAAACTAAGAGCCAAGTGCCAGTCGGTTTCCAAGGGAAGGAAACACGTTGGCTCAGTTCAGACAGCGGCTGCTGCAGGGTGACAGTGGCAGAGGTTCCTGGAAACCTGAGAGCCTTAAAATGACGAGTAGCATGGTGCTTCTGGGCTGAGGTTGAACTAAGTAACACAGACATTCTAGAAAAGACCTAAGGCAGCTCTCTGGGCTGAAAGAGGAACAGCCAGACAGACGTTTTCACTACAAGTCTCCTTAAAGGAGTCCAGCAAGAGTCACAGCATAGAATGCCCAGTCTAAAGAGGCCTGCAAAAACTGAAAACGCCCTCCTCACACTGCGACTCAGCATCAGCCATCTTTTTGAAATCATCACCTAGAATCCTCTAACAGAGTCACAAAATGCCCATCTCCTCTAGCCTGCTTCCTAAATCAGTCCAACATGCCAGCACCGTGGCCTTGAGGACCAACCATGAGGCCAATACAGTGAAATCCAGACACTTGGGGGAGCCAACTCTCATTGCTCACCCTGAAATCCAAAGATCCTTGCATAAAAAGCCAACTCCATCTAGTCTTCCTCGGAACAGAGCTTGAGGAAGAAGCGGCACTGGAGAGTGTCCTTGTACATGCAGCAGAGACATGCTGGCAAACAGACTGGCCTTAGAGGACTCAGCCAGAACCAGCTGAACTGAAGTGCATGAAGGTTTCTCAGGCCCCTCCAGTATGGGCCACGGGGACTGTCCTCTTCTCCCTGCCATGGCCACCCTTATTCCTAGGAAAAAAGAAGTCTTCCTCAATTCGTTCTCCCATTCTACCCTTTGTGGATACAATTGTCAAGGGACTGGCCTAGTTTCCACCAGGTGAAGGGCTTGCCTTTTTGTGAGAATAAACGAAGACCCAAAATGTCTGTTCCTTTAGCCAGTACATTTTCTCAAAAAGAAACAAAAGAAAGAAAAACCTCTCTGCCCCCATTCTCTAGAAAGAACTCCAAAAGGCTCCAGCCCATCCCTTCCCCTAAAAAACTTATGCACATACAATGAAACCTGTCATAACAGCAACAACAAACCAAACTTTGGCTTGGGGGAAGGGACTTCGTAAGTGGCCAGTAGGCCATCAGTCTTGTTTCCTGTTCCACATGTTGCCCCAGAATCAATGACTATACTGAGATCTCTGGCTTCCATGTTGTCTCCTCAGATATCCTGGGAGACGGGATCTGAGGGCAAGATGGCATGTGTCAACTGCAGGCCAAGGCTGTCCCTGCTTACAAAAGGATGCTTGATTCAGTCAAATGTCAGCCACTTTAATTCAGGGACATGAATCATTTATCAGTAAAAAATATGTAGAGGCAGAGGCAACAACAACACAACAACAAGAATAAGAACAACAACAACAAAAGAACCAAACCCCAATAAAATAACCCTAAAATAGACCCTAACAAAGCCAAAGCTCATGTCTCTGAACTCTGCTGTCCCTTTAGCAGCGATCCCTCAGGTGAACTGACCAGGGAGACAGCCGACAGCCCCACTTCCTAATGCCTTCATTTTGGAGCCTCTGTGGGACCCTTGCCTTTTGGATACATCTCAGATCTGGAGGGAGAAAGAAGTCCTTTGGAAACAAAACTGAAGCCAGGTTTCACTGCCATGGCCTCTGCAGAAGGACTCTGGCCATTTTATATCCTCCTTCCAAGGCAGGCTTAAAGTCCATGGCCTGTCTTCTTAATGCTCCTTGAGGGGTCCAGGTGCTTGGCTGTGACTCTGGAGGACACTGTGAAGCTGGATGCAGTGGCCACAAAGGCTGGAGACTCACAGAGGCTCTGGAAGATGGAAATTCCTATGGCTTTGGAGTGAGGACAAACTGCCTCTGCCTGCCCTTACTGGTCCTCATCAGCACACTTGTAGGGACAGCCAGCCTAGGGGCATCGTTCCTTATCCTGCCCCAGCAGAGGCTTTCTGATGCCTTTCTTACTCTGTACTGACTTCTGACTTCGTGCTGCAAGAAAACGAAGGGATATCAGATCGACGATCCCCCTTTTCTCTTCTACACACTCTTTAATGGCTCTGAACAATTTGTACTTTTAATCCTCATACTGTGCCCAGATACCTGGGGGGAAATCTGGCCACTGACTATTCATTCTTCCGTCCCTGGATCCCAAACTCCTGAGTCTGAGGACATGGGAGTAGCATGTTAATAAAAGAACAGAGGAGTTGCACAGTGGCTCAATTAAAGTGGCAACAGCCCAGCAGGAGTGCTGAGATTTCTGAAAAGAAAAGAAACAAGTGTTTTCCTATTCCAGAGCTCACTCCAAGATCATTTTTGTACTGAGGTGTTTCTCATCCACAGTCTGAGAGCATGCCTGGAAATACCAGCACTGTAATTACAAAAACCATGCCAACACTCTCAGGCTGTGCCTGTAAATGATTGTAAAAAGAATACAAAGGCAGGAGGGAAGAGGAGAGAAAAGCATCTTTTAAATTCTCCTACTTTACAAGCACAAACTCCTACCTAAAGGCATGTGGATTCCAGCCACAGCCAGTCAGAGCCTCCAGCCAAAGACAGGCCAGAAGGGCACACTGCTGCAGAGCTGGCCTCCACTCTGCTTGTCCCCCCAGCCATCAGCACCAGATCCACTTTGGTAATTCTGTCTGCTGGCTTCTGATCAAATACATGTATCAGCTCCTTCCTCCTCAACTGCCTCTTCTGTGACCGACAGAATAAGCTAAGCATGGACATACAGACGTGGAAATGCACTATCTTTTTTTTTTTTTTAACCACAGTTTTAAAAAAGCAAAAATAAAAACATCAAAAAAAAACCTTCAAAGCAATAAAAAACAAACAAACAAACAAACAAACAAAAAAACCCCAAAAAACAACCCCCTCTCCAAACAAAAACAAAAATTCAAAAACAAAAAAACAAAATAAAAAGCACAATCTTTGGAACAAAAGAATTAAAGGCAGAAATTTAAAGGAAAAATACATATTCAAAGAACATAGTGAGGTATAAAAAAGTATTCTCTCTTTTTTGTTTGTTTTCCTCTTCATCTTGCTATAGAGTCCTCTACTAGTAAATATTGCAATAGCCAGGCCTCATGAACTGGGGGCTGTCCCATTTGCAGGGGTCTCACGTCACTTCAGTAGGGGGCAAATCGGCTGTAGCCACCTCGGTACAAACTCGCCTGCAGTAAGTAGAGACATAAGAATATTTAAAGGATGAGAAAAGCATTGGAAATGAAGCAACATGTTTGGAGAGAGCACTTCTCTCTCCTGGCATCCAGGCAGTGGAGACATCGTAATGGCTGACTTCACAATTATATGATTAGGCATAGAAGGTGGATTTGATATGGTTTCTATATACCTATCTGTCTTTGTTATTTTGTCTTTTTTAAAAATCAGAGCTGAGGACCGAACCCAGGGCCTTCTACCGCTGAGCTAAATCCCCAGCCCCACCTATCTGTTTTTGTAATGCTGCTACGGTCCTGGCTGAAACAAGATTGCTGAGCTCCCTTCAAACACATGACTGTCAGAGTGTGCTACCTCTGAGTACTTCTTGGCTGAAGTGGTCACATCCTGTGTTCAGAATGATGCCACATTTAAACCCAAGCTAGTTTTTCAACCAATGAAACAGATCTCCTCTATAATCTATAAAATACAGTTATTTCTCTGTATCCATGGGATACTGATTCAAGAAATGCCCATGGATGCCTAAACTGCAACAACTCTAGTCTCTTGTTAGAAAGGTTTAGTGTTTGCATATAACTAGGCACGTCCTCCTACATGACTCATCTGTTCAGTACCAGGAAAGACTCACAGAAGGCTTAGTGCTCTGTAAACGGCTACCACACTGTACTGCTGGAGGCTAACAAGGGGAACAGGACTACATGTGTTCAATGAAGATAACTTCCCCGACACTGTGGCTGACTCTGAGGTATGCATGTGCTCGATTCTCTGCTTGCTTCCTTACCCTGATCAACTGACTTTCTCTGGTATCTTATTTCTTTTCATATGAACCTTCCCAGGAATCTTCTCCTGGGTCTTTCTTTCAGGGTACAGGATTTTTCATTTAGTATCACTAGGGAGTGGCCTGCCCTTGCAACTATGAATACTAATAAGCAGTAAAGGCATCAGTCCTATGGATTATTCTACACTTGCTCTATATGCTTCTTTCGTACTTCCCTACAACTGCTACTAGAAACTGCCTCTGCAGTGTACACAACACTGAGTCCCAGTGCTACATACCAGAAGGCAGGAGGCGGCAGGCACATTGGTAGGCATCAGCAATTAAAAATTGAGTGCAACAAGAACTGGACACCTTAACACTCCCAAGCCTTTGGTACTATCAAGAAGAACACTATGCTACTGGTATGCACCTGCTTAAGGAACCCATTCCCTCTGTCCTCTCCTAAATGACACCATTACTTGGGAAGACTGCTACCATCAACCCTTCCTTCCTACTGCCTTTCCAGATAGACAGGTAAAGCAAGTGACATAAATTCCCAGGGTCTTACACAGCTTCCACACTGGCAATGGATGAAATGACAATGCATCGCTTCCCCAGATCTTTCAAAATTTGCAAGTAGAGGAATAACATGGCTTAAGAAAAAAGGTATATAAACTTACCACAGCGCCAACTCCATAGCTGGCGGCAGGGGCGAGGGCATGGTAGGGGTCAGCTGTGTACACCCTGCCGTAACTGGAAAGGAGAAGCAAGGTCAGATGGAAGCAGGTGAGACCGAGACTGAAGGCCCTGTGCTGCAGACCTGGACTATTAGTAGGGAAAATGGCAGATGGAAGAAGCAAGCCTTTCCATCTCTGTTCCTGAGTGCAGTAACTGGGAAATCCTGACTACTATAAAATGGCAAAGAAGGGGTCAAATGGGAAAGAAGACCAACTGTAATCACAGCCAAAGAAGAGACAGAACAAGAGAGCAAGTACGGGAAGAGGCTAGGCCTGGATGCTGCGTGGCAGAAGCCATGAAGAACAGGCTCCAGAAAGAGCCAGGCTAACAGGAGGCTAAGGCCTCAGGGCAATTCTGGAAATGGTGAATGGAGAGAGGGATGCTGCAGATAGCACGGTGCTCAGGGCCTGCTTGCTCTGGCTCTGTACATACCCGTCGCTGTAAGCGGCTGCAGCGGCTGCAGCAGCTGTGGCTGCGGTTGCAGTAGCAGGCTGTGCATATCTGTAGGCTGCATATCCACCCTACAGGAGAGAAGAGAACTGACTTTACAGCTACCTCTCCCCGAGACAGACAGCCCTCCCCCCATACAGACACACACGTGTAGACAAAAGGACAGACACAAACACAGACACACATGGAAGGAGATGTTTCAAACTGCACCAGTTTGCATGCCCCTCCTATGGTAGAAAATCAAGCTTTGGCCAATGTAGGAATTTGCTTTCCAATTTGTGACAGTAGGAAGAACACAGTACACGGGCACTACCTAGTCATTTTAAGAAATACAGATATAATTTAGATCTTACTTCACAGTGTTCTTTGGAACTCTTAACAGGGAAAATATTCATGAAATGTTAGGAGAACTGAGTCAACTACACCCATCAGTGTCAATGTCAGACTCTCTGTACTGGGACTGGCTTGTCACTACGAGAATGCAGCAGGTCACAGGAAGATCTAACCCAGAGCATGGATCCATCTGTCAGAGCATGCCTGAGCATGTCAAGAGCAACACTGAGAAGGAAGAGCCAAGCAGACCAGACATCAGAGAGCTGCCTGTGAATCAATAAATCCACCACCTGCTTGTCAGAGTGGCGGGGACACAGACTGTGGCTTTAAAAGCTAAAGACTTAACCCTAGTTCTCTCCAGGAAAACTTCACTCTAGCCCACATTCCAGACTTGGGGAAATCAGACTGCAAGTGGCTTAGGAGTGTTTGCCCAGCTCTGACCAGGTCAGACAGGCCTCAGCTGCTTCCTTTTCCCACAGCAGCTTTTGGGAGCTTTTTTCCCCAATGGATAATATACCGTCTTGAGAAGTCCTGAGGAAGTCAGAACCATCACAGCCTGCTTCTCCACCTGCATTTTGATGAACAAAGGCAATCAATGTATGTATGAATAGGGATGTCCCTTCCGGAAGGACTCAAGGACAATGAGACAGACTGATACAACTGGTAAGTCCTCACTGTATCCTTCTATAACCCACCTACTTTATCTAAATCGAATTCAGAGATACTTAAAAAACAAAACCAACCAACCAAACAAGTAAGCAACAAACTCCAAAAAACCTGAGACAGGTTTCTCTGTGTAGCCCTGGCTGTCCTGGAACTTATTCTGTACTCTGTAGACCAGGCTGCCCTTGGACTTAAGAGATCTATATGCCTCTATCTCCTGAGTGATGGCATTAAAGGTATGTGCCACCACCACTTGGCCAGTTACACATTTTTACTAACGTCTTTTGGCTAAGCTGGCTCAGTCATGAGTGACAGATAAACTGTTTATTCCTGTATAAGGGCCACATCTCACGTCAGCTCAACTATCGCATTCTTTCCTCCTTTGAATGCTCAGTTTTCTGCTAACTTTGCAGGAGATATTCCACATTTCCAGGGTTTTTTAAGCCATTTTCTTAGGGTTGGAAAGATTTGTGTGTGCATGCACGGGCACACAGATTTGGAGATGTTATCTCTAGCCTAGAGACAGAGCTACCCTAGGCGTTCTGGGAACTTACTATGTAGACCAGGCTAGCTTTGAACTTACAGAATCACCTGCCTCTTCCTCCCTAGTGCTGAGATTAAAGGTATGTGCCACCACGGCTGGCTAAGAAGTATTTTCTAATGGGATCCTTGCTCTTCCCTACCTAGCAGCTCTGGATGGCTTCTTTGATTCCGAATAACTTTCATTGTGGAAAATGATTTTATGAGCTTGTAAGCTTTCTAGTAAAGCACCAGCACTATGAGGAGCTTTCCCAGTCTGTGCTGTAAGAAGTCAGGGTCAGCAGCTTCAAATACACGTTTAAAATGCACTGGCTCTCAGCTGCTGTGCAACACTCCTTTACTGTCACTCTTTCTACAGGTGCCTATAAGGGACAGTCTGAATTATCATTATTAAACCCTGCAGTGACATGGCCAAAGTAGAGTGTGGCAGGAAGCATCCTTGTGCCTTTCAGCCATGTCTACTGCAAGAGCAGGCTGGACTACCCCTGCAATGCTTCACAACTGGCTCCACAGGGCTAGCTCCAGTCCTTCTTTACCTCAAGACTCCGCAGAAGACAGTGTGATGAAAGTACTGGCCAGAGAACAAGAAGCTCACTGTTATAGCTCAGTCTTTACCTGGACCATGAAGACTTGGCTGCTCATCCTATTTAGATACGGTTCATTTTTCAGAATGGAAGGGGAATCTTCAGTGAAACATCTTTGTAACAAGGGTACTTTGGTATTATGTGCTTTCTCTTCAGCATTCCTTCAAACACCAAGAAAATCTTTACAATTTTAGAACTCTAAGACAGTGAAAGCATCTATACCTGATCTATGCTTAGCTAGGTACAGTGTTTACAGACGAGCAGGCGTGCAGGTTCTTGCTAATGGCTCAGATTCAGGACTGATCCCTGGGAGCCTGAAGAGCAAATGGAGGCTCCAGCATGCTGCCTCCATCACAGCTCTGAGTTGTGGCTGCTAACTGGGATGAAGGGCTCCTGAGCAAGACAACTGACAGCAGCCTCAGTGGCTTAGGTCCTTCCTACCAGGAAGGAAATGGGCTTTCTCCATCTGCAGTAATTTGCTTTCATGAGCAGGATCTGACTTTGGGGTCTGACTGAGAAAGCTCTCTGTGCTTCAAGTATAGGACAGGATGAACTATTTTATTGGCACTGATGGGCTTGGGAGACTACCGGCAACAAGAAAATGATATTAATGCTTTTGACCAGCAAAGGTATTTTAACAGAAGTCATTAAAAGGAGGGCTACATGTAGGCTGGATGAGCAGTACTTTACCAAAGCAATCTGGTAATTCATCCATGCCCAAGGAAAAGTGCACTGTGTACCAGGAAGTGATTCCTCTCAGATACATCTTATTCCAGAGTCTTTCTGCTTTTGCTGAAATTGGGTATTGTACAAAACCTCACACAAAACTCAGGAGAAAATCTACAACAAACTGACTTAGTTGCACTCTAGGTTTACAGTACAAAGGCTCTGGGCTAGGATGCCCCCATGTCCCCATTTTATTTTAACGAGTAAATTTGAAGGCACTTACATATAGAACATGAGAGCAAAGTGCAGTTTGAAACACCAAGGTTTTCATTACTGTTTCTTAAAATTTTCAAAAAGAACAAGGTGGGAGGAAGGAGAAGAGGGCTCAGGCGTGGGGGTAGGGTGGGGGGTGGCGCCACATTAATATTAATCACATTAAAACTGAGCATGCCGACATCCGGAGCTAAAACAACAGCAAAACCACCACGTCCAGACTGGCACTGGCTAACTCTATCTATCCCAGCATTCTCTTGGGACAGCAGTTTGCCCTAGGCTCTACCACAAGCTCGGTGAAGTACACAGCCTCAATTACTAGAGCGTGCAGCCACAACGACCTGGTATTACGGAAACAGTCAGTCACCACTTAAGTTAACATTCCATACCCTAACAACTGGCCCCTCCCCAGCCCAAAGGAGGAGTAAATCTTGCCCACCCGAGCCCTGGCCCATACCACAATGTTAATAATTATAACAAGCAGTAACCCGTCTGTTATATCAGAGAAGGGAACAGAGACTCCACTGAGAGGTTTAGAGTGAGATGTTAACATTTCTTCAGCTGACTGCACAAACAAACAAACAAAAAAAGAGGAGAAAGAATTCATTTGGAGATATGAAGTCATGAATAGCTGATGTGTATTGCTTTTAACCATGCACTGATGCAAAACTGAAGCAACCATTAATAAAAATTAAAAAGGACATATGTATTTACACACAATCAGACCTGTTTGATCTGAAGCAGTTTGCAGATTCTATCTGTGTGTGATTTGAAATAAAACAAAAAATGGGGATTAGCATGGCCACAGCACACCAGAGTGTAGGAGGGCACACACAGACGGCTTCTGGAACTCAGCTGCCTAAGTCTAGCATGGCTAAGCCTGGCTCAAATCCACACATGCCCCTTGAAAATCTTTGTAACCTTCCTAAATTATGCCTAGTTCTCCCCATATGATGGCCCAAGCCCACTCTTCAACCTGCCTGGCTCTGACAACAGAGCTCACCAGGCATGCACTCTGGGAGCAACTGCACATTCTTATCTAGTGTTCTTCCAAGTTTCTCCTGTATTTGAGAATTTTGTTTTCTCAATTATTTGTCATATTTTGGTTCCCACTTCCAGCTTCTTCTCAAAGCTAAATGCTGCTACTTTAAGCCCCTCTGCTAATGACTTTCCAAAGTGTTAAAGGAAAGCCTGTTCCCCACACCCAGTGTTATCCTCTTTGAGGTTTTCTACTCTTCTTCCCTGAATCAGATTTATCAACTCTGTGCCACTGGGATTCTTCTGGAGCATTTCTGCATGTATGTTTGAAACAAAACAGAAGTTCTAACCATTGCTCCCCTACACGTGACCCTTGTCTGAACACCTAAATATTTTCATCTTGTCTTGATTTTAACCTTGCCTTTAATTTTATTGTATTTTTGCTTTAGGTTTACATTAAAACAGGACTTTGGTGAGCATGTGATGTCAAGACACCTTCTTTCTACCTGAAAGACAATGACATGTGACACTGAGGAGGAAAGTGTGTAGCTCAAGACCAGCAGACAAATGAAAGCTTGTTATCCCATGTCGTGTGCAGATGGACAGAGCAAGGCAAGTGTGTGCATGTATAAGCGTGTGTGTAGGGGGCTGGCAGGTGTGACGATTAACATCACCACCGAGCAGCACAGAGCTGTTCTTCGTAGCAAGGGTCTAATGTTTGGCCTCTAGAACCACTGGATTTGTCTCTGGATGATCCTAATGCCCTCTTTCCCTATGCCAGCTGAGAGCCTCAGCCACAGGAGACAGTTGAGTTCTCATGCAGACACAGCACAGGCTTGAATATAAAATTCATAATTTCTGCTCTGAATGGACATATCTATATATTCCAAAAGTGTCATTTAAGTTCCATCTCATCATCATTTAAATTTGGTGTTAAGGAGAGAAACTGTTATGATCAACTTGATTAGCTTTGACTTACATGATTTATGAGAGATGAACTTTAATGAATTAAATCTTTCAAATGCTTTGCTCTTCCACATTTCTCCAAATTAGTTCATTTCTAAAATATCACTGGGTTACATGAAGTAACTGGGTTATTAAATTATGGACTATTTTTCTTCTCTGAGCATCAAGTTACTGGGAAAACTCTAATAAGTGTGCTATTATCCAATCACTTACTGATCTTATCAGGTGAAAGGAAAGAAGGCCCAGGAGCTAACGTCTGGCACGGCCAGACCTGTAAGAACTCCACACTTCTGCAGCAGCACAGTCCAGTTCTGACTCTGATTTCGCTAGGCACCTGAACATGGGATTTAAGGCCCTGTGAGGGCAGACTCAAGTCTGCTTCCTTTCGCTGTCTCTTTCACAGTCAGCACTCTCGGCTGCTACGTTCTCCAATATAAAAGACTAGCCTAAACAGCACAGGAGCTGGGACTGACAGGCTGAAAGAGGCAGCAGTGGTCGGACAGTGGACCGTGGATTGTGCATGTGATGCACCTGTGGCCGATGTGTGTTGAGGGGACTGGAAGGCTCACTCTGAAGGAAGTGCCATGATGTGTGGATGTGATGTGGGCACTGCTGAGGTAGCAGGGCTTAGATCACACGCTCACAAGTCTTGATTGTCCAAAAAAGCCTCTGTTCCCATCTCTAACGTGGAGCTGGAATGGTTAGTATAATTCAATTTTTTCACTGCAATCCACAATCTGATTGATTGGCAGGTCACACTGGCACTCCTACCTGAGGTATTTTAGCGCTAATGATTGGTTCCTGTAACACTATTCTATAACAGAACACAGGAAGAGCAGTTCAAAAACACAGCTGTGGAAGGAAAACAATCATACAAAGAGCCCACCATGGGCTGCCAGCCTTTTCTTTCCTTTGGATGCAAGCATGCTTTTCACAGGATGAGAATTAGGAGTTTGTTATCCCACTTAAAAGATAAATTAGGGTGAACTACGGCCTTTGTAATGGGGAAAAGGGAGGCAGCAGGGATGGGAAGTGGACACACACCTATCCTAGAAGGCCAGGGCTCTTTACAAATGGAGGGCATGATGGCTAGATCAGGACATTTTGTCTCCAGACAAAAGAAAGTCGTAAGGAAGCAGAAAGAAAGAAAAGAAAAAAATGGCTTCCATGAACCACTCTGAGAGCAGCAGAGGGAAGACTGAGCAGCAGCTGCACAGAAGCCCCTCTCCCGAGTGTCTTCTTCTCATCCCCTGCCTGGGCCAGAGTGGTTTTTAACACACTAAATCCTGCACTCATGCTATTCTAGTACACACTTCTGAGGAACTAGATTTCCAGTTAGGAAATGTACAGAGAGAAGTGGAGCACACGCAGGAGAGCCGTCAGTTTAAGACACCCCCCCCCCCCCCGGCACACCATCGGTTTAACAGCTCCAGTTAGAACACTATAGCGAGGTCCTGGTTTTCAGTGCAGGGCTCAAATATGATCTCAGCACTAGTGATCAACTTTTGTCCTCCGAAGAACTCTGCTGTAGATGGAGAGAGGGAGAGGCGGGAAATAGGCAGCAGGGCTCTAGCCAGCAGGGGCCGCTGGGAAGGGCATTTAAGAGTCTGTAGATTATTCATTTAGATTAGAAAATAAAAACAAAAATCATTAAAAAAAAAGAAATTAAAAAAAACAAACAAAAAATCCTTTTGATGGACATATTAAAAAACGATCATTCATTACGATGTTACAATGCAAAATAAGGAAACAGGAGAGCCATAACCAAACATTCAGTTGGTTGGTTCAAGGTAAAAGCAGGCAAAGCCGGGATAGAAGCAGGATATGCTTTAAAAATAAATCCCAAATAAGGAAGATATTACATGAAAAACAACAACAATGATAACAAAAAACAAAAAACAAAACAAAACAAAAAAGCACCCCAAAACCCAAAACCTCAGTTGGGGAAATAATTCAACTACAGTAGATTTCCAAAACATAATAATATGAAAATGAGTTTTATGAGAATATAGAGATCATCATATGTAAAATGCACATCCAGAAATGTGTAGTATGCTGTAAAGTAAGCCAGACTTTCCCAGTCCTCAACTATGAACACAGGAGGAACAGTTACTTCTTAAAAATTTGCTGAGCAAGAGTTAGATTTTAATTAAAGTACAAAGAAAGGTAAGAGGCATGGACCAGGGGTCTCCATGCTTGGCCGTGTAAACTATTTATGAAATTCCTATAATCACAGTGTCAGGGAGGGGCCAATGACGCCAACCTAAGGTTCCTGTACGAGGTAGACACACTTGGAAGACCTACTCTAGCTAGCACAGCTAGACTGACCTGGCCTGAAACAGCAGCCTCAGTGTCTCTGACATCATACTGCTGAGGAAGCAGGCACAACAGCCTCTTGACAGGGGAGAGGAGAGGGCAGAGAGAGCACCTCCTGGACAGCTGACCTACCTTAGAGTGACTTCCTATGCTAAGTCTTCTTTACAGAATTGTCTTAACGATTCAGGTCAGTTGACTATGCTGACACTCAGAAAAAGGCCACTTGGAAGGCACCTAATGATAGTCCTTAAAACTCAACAGCTTTTCCCATGTTAGTTAGATTCCTTTGAAGTAGGTATGTGACCAACAAATCATGGAACATGGAACTTTATCTCCAGCTAGAAAGACACTGGGTTAAATGTCAATGCGCCTGCTAGAATTGGGAAATTGACGATAACTGAACATCAGAGTCCAGGCTGCTACCACACTTCCTGGTTTCCCTTGTTTGACTCCTAAGAAAGAGACGCCCTGGCTGTGGACTCCAGGTAGACTGAAGCTGAGCATCTGTGATCCTCAAATACTGTACACTCCTCCATAGCTACTGTACTATGATACCAGCTGCTGACACCACTTTCACAAGTTTATGTTCTTCAAGTCATGTAAAGTTAGAGAGCACACAGTTCAGAAAGCTTCCTGGCATTACAAAAAACAAAGCCTAACACTTTAAAGAGGGTGTGGGATGGAGAGAAAAGCAGAGACAGGAAAGAGCTGGTGTCAGGTAAGCTAGTCCTGTCATTTATGTATGCAGATGATGTGACAACAATACGACTTTAAACCTGCTGATCATCTCACAGGTAAGAAAGAGATAACCTAGAGCTTCTGTGGGCAGCACAGGGAGGGGAAGAAGATGTCCAGCAGACTGAGCCCAGCAACCATCACAAGACCCAAAGACTTAGTTTTTGCACCCAGGGGCAAGCGCAGTGGCAGAGAAGCATGCTTGCATTCTTAAAATATATAAATATATATATATATCCACAAGGAAAAAGGAAAACAAAAATTAAATTATATTTTTAAAAAAGGAAACAACAACAACAACAAAAAAAAAAAACCAAAACAAACTAAAGAAACAGAAAAAAAAGGCTGGCTTGTCAGGGGATGGGGTCAAAAAGGCCCCAGTGTGTGTACTTACATAGAGGTCAGCACCGTAAAATCCGTCCTGGTAAACCACACTGCAGAAATCCACACAAAAACAAAAACAAAAAACAAAAGAACAGAAACACATTCCGGTTATTGAGGACGGCAGCATGCACATGCGCTACACAGGCAGGTGATGTATGAATGTAACCTGGACGTGGGGCCGCGGCAAGCTGGTGACAGAGCTGTATGTGTTTCATGGCTCCAGGACACGTGAGGAGGGCTAAGGGTCTGCAAAACCAGACAAAGCACCAGGACCCTGGATAACCCAGACTAGGGACAGAGGCTATGTACCTGGCAGGGCCGCATGGAGCTGTCTGATATCTGCTGGATTACACAGACCACCTTTAGGATCTGGAGGACTTTTACACGTTTGCTATTCTTTGACGGCGTACAAAGGGCAGGGATGCTGAGGGCTTAACTTGAGGAGGAGAGTGAACAAAGTGAACTCCATTAGGATAGGAGCTATTTGCTAGGTGTGTTTCAAATGATGCTTAGTAGTTATTTTCATTTTTGAAAGTATAGATTTTCCTGTTATCCATACATCACCCGCGTTTTACCCTGCACATTAGACATGCGATAAGATTTGGCTGATCACACAAGCATGCAAAGTATTATTATTCAGCATTTTTAAGAACCAATGCAACACCTTGGAAAAACAAGTCAATCAATTCTGACCAAAGTAAACAGAGAAATGTAATTAAAAAAAAAACCAAAAGAACAAAACAACCAAAAATACCCACAATGCATTGCTTTCACAAGCAGAGGTAATGAGCTTAAGGTTAAGGTGATTGGTCCAAGAATTGAAAGGTGCAGTGGGATCCCAGATAGTAACAATATAATCCAGAGTGGGAAGGAGCAACTGGAAGATTTTAAGGGTTCTTGCCTAACTAACAGAGTATCCAAAGAATTCTGAAACACACAATTGGTGACTGAAGCTTTGGTCACAACTAGGACTGTCCTTGATGGTGAACCTGAGGAAGTCAATGGCATGGCTCACTCTCCTGTCTGGGAATGGGCTTTGCCAAGCAGGCACTATTAGTTTTTTAAACAAAAAACTGGAGTAGTAGTATACTATTATTCTTACAATGTAGACTTTCCTCCAGCCTTATGAAGTGCTTGTGCATATACAGATTTTCCCCCAAATATTTTGGGAGCAAAAGACATTAACAGTGGTAGAAGATAAACTTTCTTCATATTTGTCAGGTCAAGACTTGGCTGTTTTATATATTTTTAAAAATCTGTTTTGGTTTATTAGCTAAGTAAAATGGATTTCTTTTCTCCATTATAATGAATGAGCTAACAAGTAGGGCCACTAAGTCTTACATCTAAAAGTTGCAAGGTCATACCTTATAATGCACCTAACACTAGACCTCTGTTTTTGCACAGCAGGAAAAGCAGATGAACTTCTGGTGTCTGTAGTCAGGCTTTACTTGCATTAGTCTCCACGTACTTCAAGTCTAATATTGGGATGGATCTGCCTTTCCACTGCATTTTCCTAAAAGACTTGCATAAGTGAAGGCTGAAGAATGGGGAACACAGAGGCTACTCGGAGTTAATCTTTGTCAGTGTCAGTATGAGGCACAGGCAAAGACTACAACACATTCCCTCTACAAAGACTGTTGCCATTAGAAACACGGATATATTTTATTCTAAGGCAAATCACTGATTGTGACTATTCACTGGATTCTACAAGAATTCTGATAATTCCTGTACCAACGCCGTAAGAGCACAGAGGCTCACAAGCAATTCTAGGAGAGCAACTCTAGGCCATTCCCCAGGAAATACTGGACTTATTCCTTGCCATCTTCCAGGTAAACAGGTGGTTTAGTTAATAAAAAAAAAGAATACACAGGAAATAAGTGTTCAGTGTACTGATATGATCAGACATAAAAGACAAGATATGCTTAAGCAAATTTATATATCTGACACAGACTTAGGAGAAAATGGGCTATGAAGTAGCTCAGGAAGTTACAAAATAGGAAGTTCCATGTGTTTCTGCATTCTCTCCCTGCATATGTGACAGTCAATGCTTTTGGGTGGAAATGGGAGATATGTCATGAGCACTTTTCCTAGTGTGCTAAACTTGTAAAAGATCCACTTTCATGTTTCACTCAAATATTTCTTAATGAAACAAAGCTGTATCTTTAATTTTTTTTTTTTTTAAAAAAAAGAGATGTCAGAGGTTGAAGGTCAAAGGTCAAGTTGAGACAAAAAAGGATAAAATTAAAAGCAAGTCATGGCAGAAGATGGAGATGATGGAATGCATGGGATTTAATTATCTATAAATTGCAAATGAAAGTTATTTTCTGAAGCAGTTCCCTTGCAGTGTCTTGGAGTCTGCCCACTTCAGCATGCATACTTGCCTTGTCTAATAAAAATGCTTTAATTCTGTAGCATGGAGGACTCCTAATGGTATGTCCATTGGTCTATGAATGAATGAATGTTAAATTAGTATACCTCCTGGTGAAGCCAATTTTGCTATCAGAAAGGGACATCCTCTCTTCTGTCATGTTTTAACTAAAAAGCAACTAATTGGCTTTTCTGCAGCTATTTATATTTCTCCACAATACAGGAAAAACAAAAACAACAACAACAACAACAAAAAAACTACCTGTCATAGGAAAAGATGAAGAAGAGAAATGTCAATTCTTTTGAGAAACTTCTTAGTACAGCTGACTTAGAGAAGCTCACTTCATATAAAAACATAATTCAGGTTGACACAGGTAAACAACTAAAAGTTAATCTGCCATCTTCCCTTCTTCTCCCCATTCAAAAACAAAGGATTTGTTTGTTGCTATGGAATCTTTCCACTGCATGAGACATCCTGCTCCAAACTGAAGGCGAAGGATGCTCGGCTATGTCAGCTGCTACCATCTCAAGCCAGCTGCAGCTGGATCCCTACTTCTCCCTCTCTTCCTTCATTCAATTGGACTTGTTTTGTCTTTGAATTCACCTCTTTCAATCTGTTTCCTACGAAGAAAGCAAATCCATTGTGGGTAACTAGCTTTGCTGCTCACCACCCAGGCAGTGAACCACGGGGTGGGCGCATGTGCTGGCCTCTGCCCCAGCATGGGGAGCTGAGACAGGTGAGCAGAGCAGACACAGTCTGGCACTATGATCTCCAGCTCCCTCAGTCCTCTGTAGTAGTGTTAATCCACACTCGTGCGCTGCTGAGTGAACTCCATGCCAACACACTGCTAGCAAACACAAGATGGCTCTAGCCACTGTCTTAAGCTGTCACCACGAAGGCTTAAGGTGGCCAAAATGAGGGTTTATATAACGAATTGACCCTTGGTCAAAATTCTGTATTTTGGTTCTTGCCCTTAGTCCGTTAATTTGCAAATATTTACACAGCATCTAAATGCTGCAAGCAACAGCCTGGAAATCAGGGAGGGCAGAGCACTCATCTTCCCTCCTTTTGTATCCGATTGCTTATTTTAGAAATGGTGATTTTGGAATCTAATGCTTACCCTGGATAGGCGGGGATGGCTGTTGGAGGTACCGCTCGGACTGCACCATACACTGTCCGCCCTCTGCCCCTCAGATGGGCTCCTCTGAAAGCAGCTGCCGTGGTGGCTGCAGTTGGGTAAGGGAAGCCAGGAACTAAAGGGAGACCCAAAATATGACAGAAATTTCAACTTGCATTCAGGAGCTGGCACAAAACTAGACTGAGAATCAATTAAGGAAAAGGTAGAAAGACAGGCACCCAATCTTTCCTGAAAAGACAACAAGCATACTAATTTATACACTAGTGACTCTGGGGCTTGGGGAAGAAATGGAAAGAGAGATACAATATGACCAAACAACTCCATGCCTCACTCATCACAGATCTTGAGTTTACTCTGTTTCTTCCAGGTTTTTCCAGTCATTATGAGAACTGATAAGAAACTCTTATCTTAATAAGGTGCACAAGTTTTAATTTCTGTTGGTGATTTAAATCAGGTTAATACAAATTCTTTAACTGGCCAACTATTAGTTTCATTTCTGTTATTATATAGTAATTATTCCTCAAAAGGAAACTTCTTTATATTTTTAATGGTACTAACCTCCAAGGTATACAATAGGTTTTAGAGAATTTATTTGTAATTTCATTTCTTTAATATAGATAAATAAACAGAGTTTTAAAGACAAGGTTTCTCTGTTTAACCATAGCTGTCCTGGAACTAGTTCTGTAGACCACACTGGCCTCAAACTCACAGAGATCCACCTGCCTCTGCCTTCTGAGTGCTGGGATTAAAGGAATGCACTGCCATTGCCTGGTGTCTCTAAAATATTTTAACTTCCTCAGTTGCTCTGTACCTTTAGTGAGACAGACAAAAGCTGCCTCTAAGTGTTCCTTGCTCTGGAAGGCACGTACCAACATCCTGCTCTGTGGAATCTGGTTTAGTTACAGGGGAAACAGGTCTGGGTAAAAGTGACTTTAGAGACATCAAGAAAATGGCTTGTTACTGACACTGGAGCTCTGCTAAGTGGTACTCCAGAGGAGAGTGGGTAGGACGAGCAGGCTTGAGTGATGCAGGCTAGAGACATGCTCTTATCTTCTGATTTCCTTAGGATCCTTATGATCACATACAGATGGGATATTTACATGTTCATCTGTACACTTTCCAGTGATTTTGTTTTATGGGTGCTTCTAGTGTGAGTTACACAAAACAGGGCACTGTGGTATCTATTAATCTCTCAAGAATAGTTCTTTTTCATCAGTTCTGCATTAATAGAACAAAACCAGACCAAACTAGCACATGTGGCAACAGTCAAAACCCATAGCAGGTCAGTGTAGGCTACTTACTGATTAAAGGGATGTAAGTGTTGATGCCTCCTCTTCCTGATAAGGGCACAGCCGTCTCATTGCCTAGGGATACATCAGCTTGAAAGCTGGATGCTAAGTACATTAAAAACAAAACAAAAAACAAAACCCACAAAGGTTACAATACAAAGACATAGCTGAATGAGAAGCCACAGACGCCATTAAGTAGCAGACAGGGAAGCAGTGCACTAATACCTGCATATAACTCAGGGCCATACACAGCTCCAACTACTGGGCTTAACTTCCAGCCTGAAACAGAAGAGGACAGGAGTGAACTCTGCAGCTCAAGGTGGCTTCAGGCACCTTGGGGCTGTTTTTCCTCCCCAGGTCAGAGTTTTCAGGAAAGGGCAATGGTATCATCTTTAAACAGTACCTCTACAGCTTCTGCTTGAAAGCTGCCCTGACTTCCCTTAATGATTAAGCTGTGGCCCCAAAGCGGCTTTGTGTCTATGTTATTATAACATCAGACTGTAAGTAGAACAGAAAACGAGATGGAGGGAGGGAGGAAGATGGAGACGGGGTGTGAAGAAGAGGAACCAGAAATACACTGTTGAGTTTGGCAGAATGTTCAGAACTTTGTACCCAGATGGCCTTCTCTGAGCTTAGAAGAGGAAAGAAATCTGAACACCTATCATTTGGTACCCACAAGGCAACACACTTCATTACGTGCCATCTTCATAGTACTTTACATTAGATGCTTCATTAAGGCATCCTCAGATTGAATTAAAATCTGACCTAGAGCCAGATGCAGTGGTGCACACACGCCTTCAATACCAGCACTCAAGAGGCAGAGGCGGGCGGGTCTCTGTGAGTTTGAGGCCAGCCTGGTTTACAAAGTAGTTCCAGGACAGCCAGGGCCACACAGAGAAACCCTGTCTCAAAAACCAAACCAACCTGGAACTTGATGGCACATTCAGTTATACAGCACAAGGTGTGTGTAAATGGAAATCTCCCTTCATAGTAAAAATTGGGGTTCATCAAGTAGAGAAGGAAAGACAGGCAGTAATGAAATGTGAAGTCCATTCCTATCTTCTGTGCAGGGCTTCAGGTTTTAATTTATAATTAACATTTTAATGAACATGTTACTCAAGACTCTGAAGGATACCAGACTAGATGTCAAACATTAATTTAAGATTTAGAAATGTTGAGTTTCCAAATACTATGTTGGGAGATTTTTTTTTTTTTTTGAGACAGTTTCTGTGTACCTGGTTGTCCTACTTCTCCTGAGTACTGTAATTAAAGGGATGCACCACCACCACTCAGCTTGAACATTTTATTTCTTTATATACTTACAGTATGCAATATGTATAGAATATGTCAAGTATTTTGTTTGTAAGCAAGAAATGCATTCTACCCCTCTAGTAGTGAGTAGAATGCTACATAAGAACTTAAGTAGCTACTGACTTTTATATACAAGAAGCAACACACCCTGCCAGTCTATTTTCTGGAGGAGCTAGCTCCTACTGATTTTTCTCCCTAGCCACTGCTGCTGTTATGCTATGAATACAGGAATGGAGAGAAGGAAAGGCCACTTATATTGAAATTACAGATTTTCCTTCCTTTTTTTACATTGTATCTCTCTGTCTCTCTCTGTCTCTCCCCCCCACCCCCGTGTATGTGTGTCTGTGTGTGTGTGTGTCAATGAGAGGATGATATAAAGAAGTTGGTTTTCTCCTTTTCCTATGTGGGTGAGGAGGAAGAATTTAGGTCATCAGGCTAGGAGTTAAGTGTTTTAATTACTTATTGGGCCCTATGTAGCCCAGGCTATGTGCCTCGGAACTCATTATCCTTCTGTCTTATAGCTTTCTCAGTACCAAGGTTACAGGTGTGAGCCAGCATTATCTGGTTCAAATAACTCACGACTCACTCTCAAGTCCTTATGCTGATAAAAGTGCTCACGAGGGCCAACACAATGGTTCAGTGAGTAAAAACGTTTACCACCAAGCCTGTTTGACACCTGGACCCATATGGATAAAGGAGAGAACAGACAGACTTATGTAGGTTGAGGGTGTCCTCTGACTTACACACCTCCCAGAGCCAGAGTTACAGGTAGTTTAGAGCCACCTGACATAGGTTCTGGGAACTGATCTTGGGTGCTCTGCAAGATCAGTTAACCTGAGCTGTTACGTCAGCCCTAAATTCTGCATTTTAGAAAACAATTTAAATTTACTTTGTGTGTTGAGTATGGGTGTGTGCATGCTATGGAGGGCAGCAGAGATGAGAAGACAACTTCTTGAAGCCAGTCCTCTCCCTTCCTGCTGCTGAAGGAAGGCCTCTCTTATTTCTGCCACTGTATGGCATATTTCAGGCTAGTGGACCCAAACTTTTGCCTAAGGTGCTTGGATTACAGATGTGGACTACCACACATGGCTTTTCACATAGGTTCTGGTTACTGAACTCAAGATTTCAGGCTTGCATGGGCTAGTGCTTTTTCCCTGAGGAGCCACCTTTCCAGTCTATCACTGAAAATTCCATTCTTACAAATTTTTATTAAACTCACTATATAACTTGTCATCATGGAATAAAAAGCTACACCCTACAGTCCCATGGCCATTACTGACAGGTCTTAGGGAAAGCAAGAAATCTAGAATTATAAAAGAGCCTAGGTTTTTCTTCTCACTAATCTAGAGCACTGACTGTTCTTCTAGAGGTCCTGAGTTCAATTCCCAGCAACTACATGGTGGCTCGAAACCATCTGTAATGGGGATCTGATGCATTCTTCTGGTGTGTGTCTGAAGACAGCTACAGTGTATTCATCATATAAACAAACAAACATGAATAAATAAATAAATAAAGTTAATGAGAACAGAATACCTTTGTAAGTTAAAAGCTTAGCTTAATTCTAAGGAAAAAAATAATCTGTAAAGATAAAACACTTTTCTAAGAGGTCAAATGTGAATTGAGCCGATGGTCCTAGAAAGTCGTGAAAATATCATATATCTACATAAGAACAAAGGTCTCCCAAGGCAGCTTGTAAATCCTCACCATTTGCATATGGTGTGACCATCTTCTTGTTGGTCATGACCCGTGCTGTAGCATTATTCACCTAAAAATCATGAACAGACAAGAGGGCGGGGAGAGACGCATTAGGGAACATGACACTGCTCATCCAGTAACACAGTACATAATTTAAAAGTAAATTTCTGATAGCATTTAGATAATTAACACAGCATCATAAAATATTCATAGAATTTTAATGTGTTTATTAAATGAGGCTAACAAGAGTAAAATGTAGTTTCTTGGTCTCCAAATAAAAAACTGTGGCTATTCTACCTTTCAGCACTGCAGAGAAACCATGCAGTTACAAGTTCTCTGGACAGCCTTAAGATGTTTTTTTACTGAAGACAATTTGGAAAAAAGGAGATAGGGAACAAATATGTCTACAAAATAACTTTGAAGCTTGTTAAGTAAAACAGAGGCTTGCCACCTGAGCCATGATGCTGATGTCATATCCTGTCCTGATGGTCTACAGATTTATTTATTTATTTGACTGTTTGGGATTGGTAAATAAATAGAGGAACTAAAGATTCCCGTGGTGGCAGTCTGTAGGACCGTCCTGAATTTTCTAGATCACATGGATTACTCATTTAAGATGAAGTTTCGGAGGGCCTTTGGCACAGGTGCTCAGCAGTGAAGAGTGATTGCTTAGTTCTCCTGAACCGTGTTCCTCTACCCCATGATAAAGCTTGTATGAGGTTTTCTCCATGCTGAGGTAAGCAGAAAGGAGGGGAGGAACAGAAGTCAGGACACTGTGGGTAGCCTCAGGACCAACTTCAAAGCCTCATCATAAACTCAACTGCAGCTTGCCTTGAGCTTGGAGCTTATGAAATATAAATGTGTCTCATCTGTTTTTTAAAAACAAGTCTCACTAGGAAGCTCAGGCTCAGTCTGAGATTTGCTATGCAGCCAGGCCAACCTCAAATCTGTGATCCTTCTACCTCTGCCTCCTGAATGCTTAAAGGACAGGCTTGTGCCACCAAGGTCAGCTTACTTTGCCTCTAGGGATATACACTGTACTAGATTTATGTTAAGAAGACCAATTTTGGATAAAACTAGAATTTAAAAACATCTGACATATTTTAATGACCCTCTCCCCCTTCCTGTGTGAAGACAGCTTGAAACTCCATTTACTCTAGTTTGACCACCAGATAATGTAAACATTTCACATTTACAAAGAAAGAATGAGAGACAACAACGATGAGATTGAGAGCATGCAGTTAACACACACAAAGAAAAGAAAGAAACAACTCGGAAAGAAGAGGGAAAGTGAGCAGCAAGGTTGGAATGGAGCAAGGGCTTGAACCAGCTACTAGAGCAGAAAGCCACCAAGCAATCCAAAGGAAAACCAGCCAGAACCAAGCAGACACTACCAGTCAGCAAGAGACACCCACAGCTCCAGACAGAGAGGGACAGGGAGGAAGGAAGGAAGGGGCAGGAATGGGAAGTCAGGGAAACTGAACAGAGTGGTAGGGGAGAATAGGCGAGAACATGAGGGGGGTGTCGGCAGGAAAGAGCTGCACGGGGTTGGGAAAGGGGGCAGAGTGCATTAATAAAACCAGCCAAACTGGAGTTCAGTAACTCTGAGTAAGATGCGCAAGGGGAAAAAAATCACCATGAAGTCAGTAACCAAACAGCTCAGACTGCTACAAGACAGGATGTACATCCAAAGTCCAGGCGACATCACCCCACAGCAGTGAAAATAAAAGGGGCAGGAAGGGAGAGAAGCAAGTCAAACCACATCTGGTAGTGTTAATGTGAGATGGCAGATGGACTTTTTCTCTCTTAATTGTTTTGTGATTACATTTTTCAAAGCTTCTTCTCTAGCACTTTCAGTTCACTTACCGCCAACGGGCACCGCCAGCATTGTGTATAGTTACCATGGAAAGAGTGAGGCAAGTGAAGGGCCCTAAATGCTAAACCATTGGAAAGGGGAAAAAAAGCAAAATATGCAGACATCTTACTCAAATGGTGGCTTTTATATTTTAATACTTTAAAAAACTGGGAAAGGGGGGAGAGGAGCCAGTTAACCTTCAATCTGTTAGTCACTCTATGCTGGTGAGCCCAGGGCTGACTTCACAATCACAACATTTGTTCATCAGTGCCACCAGCTGCCCCTGAACCCTCTGTTGAGACTGCTATTTGTCAACTTTGGAGCCAAGCCTTGAAGTTCTCGGTATTAAGTAAAATGTAAAACTATCAGAGTTTTGGATTCTGCACCCCCCCACCCCCAACCGCTATAATCATCTATCCACACTTATCAAACACACTTGGAGGGGAACTGGCCTCCAAGACACAATGCTATAAGCTAGATAGATAGTCTTTAGACATTTTTGAAGTTAGTTTTGCTTAGGCCTCATTATAGGAATTCAGAGTCTTGCGAACTGAAGCAAAGGAAAAAAAAAATCAAGAGAGCAGAAGGATGAACATTTTGGAAGAGGGAAAAAAAGTAAGTGAAAAACAGGTAGGCAAACATCCCCGCCCTCCAAATTAACCCTAGAACAACCAAAAGCAGGGGAGAAGCCGACAGGATTGTTACTTTTACAGTGTAGTGCAAGGAGGTAAAGACAGACACAGACAGGAGTGCACACATGGACAGGAGTGCACACACACAGACAGGAATGCATACACGAACAGGAGTGCACACACAGACAGGAGTGCACACATGGACAGGACAGGGGTCGGAAGGTGAAGTGAGGCAGTACACAAAGAGAAAGAAAAATATAAACGAGAAATTGAATTATTGAAGACATGCACCTCGATTTTACGGCCCTCTACCACGGTGCCGTGCAATTTCTCCCTGGCCCTGTCTGCATCAGCACTATTCTCGAAAGTTACGAACCCGAATCCCTGCATGCAGCGGGAGAAGGGGGAAAACATGCACATCGTTATATTGAAATACTCATCTCTTGGTAAACAGAAAACATCACAGTATGAAGTGACGCCAGCACAACTAACACCAGCAGTTTCTTCCAAAGGTACATTTTTGATCCATGCATATTTTGTAAAGGGAAATTTAAACCCAATAAAAGGATAAACAACTGTAATAATAACAGTAACTTAATTAACTGTAATAGCAATAAAATAAAATATAATGTACGTGAGGCCAGACCAAGATTAAGGTAAGAAGTTACTCAGTTCAAAAATCTGAACATACAAAACCAAACCAAACCAAACCATAAAGCTATTATTATTGTGTGCACATGTATGCATTTGTGCAGGTGGAGGGCAGGGCAGAAATAGGCGCAGTGTCTTCACGGACTGCTCGCTCTATTTTTTTTTTAATATGAGTGCTGAGGATCAAACTCAGGTCTTCATGCTTGCAAGGGACGTACAAACTGAGGCATCTTTCTAGATCCTGTTTTTCTTTCAACTGACTCTCTGACCCTGAAATCTATACTTCTCCACTAACTGCTCTGTGAAAATTCACATTCAAGGTTACTGGCTCCACAATGAGATGTAAGGGAGTTAGCTTGGTCCTGCTTTACCTGTGTCTTACACTACTGTCTTTTGGGAGTAGGATAACTGAAGACAGTAGTGAGGTCTAGTTCTGTGGGTAACAACTGTGTATGCAAGCGTAACTATCACCGGAAATGGACAACTAGGATTTTTCTTTAGCAACAATTTTAAATGATCAGATTGGCACTTTATGGGAAAATGTGTATATGGCTGAATTTCAGAAAATTACCTATATCATACATCTGTTGATGTCTATCTCTGCTGTTAAAGGCAAATTAGTGACTTTTCTCCATGAGGAAAAGCAGGAATAGTCAGTGGACAGGCATCAGCAATGAGGAGTGTTAGTAACAGTGGTTATCCACTGTTCGATAGGGAAGACGCCATGAAGGAGGTAACGCAGCTGCTGCCATGTGGGTCAGGATTAGTATAATGTGCCCTGTATCCCCAGATACAAAGACAGAGCTCACAAACAAAAAGGCCAGGGGCTAGCCTACCCTATGCTCACTTGTTTCTGCTATTCCCAGGGGCAGCTCACCACATGACAACAGCATGACTACACATGACTACTTCATCAAAGTGCCTACCATCTTCACCACAGGTACACTGGTGCTGCCCACCCTCCACAGCTCTAACTTTATGTCATTTCTTTAGCAGTTTACATCTGCAAAGGAACCTCTCAGGACTCTCCGAGGAGTCACTGAAGCCTAACAGTACAGGCATGCCTCCATAGATAAAACCCCATCTTAAACAGAGTTTACAGAGCCAGAAATAGTGGTATACTCCTTTAATCTCAGCACTAGGGAGACAGAGGCAGGCAGATCTCTGAGTTTGAGGCCAGTCTGATTACAAAGTGAGTTCTAGGAGAGCCAAGACTATAGAGAGAAACCCTGTCTCAAACAACCAAAAACCAAACCAAAGCAAACCAAACCTAAACCCAAACCCAAAACAAACAACAATGACAAAAACACCAAACAGATCTTTACAAAAGCAAGGATGTGATGATCCTTCAGCAGTCTAACTGTGTGAGTAGGTGGTGTCTGAAATATTCTAATGAACTATCTCTGCTTATGCCCGTGTACCAACTACTACCACAGGAGGGTACGCTCTGTTGACAGAGGACAAATGAATGTTTACTGTGGTGAAGTACTAGGGTAACTGTTTTTAGCACTCTCCTACAGAATGTATACACTGGTTGAAAATAGTAATAGGAAAGTATTTTCAGAAACAAATTTAATATTAACATGTTGTAGCCACTTTGACAACCTCAAGGTACTGAAGGCAAGTTGTGAAGGATGTCCGTATCTTTCTTTTCTCTAAAGATAAACAGACTCTGAAGACAAGAAGCCAAATCTTCTACCTAAGAATCTACCAACTAGCAGGCAAGGTAAGAAGGGTCAGGTAGAGTGAGGGATGAGTTTAATTGTGTGCCTGTGTGCACATTAGGTGCAGGTGCCTGAGAAGGCCAGAGCCATCAGGTCCCTCTGGAGCTGGGCTTACAGGAGGACGTGAGTTGTCTGACTTGAGTTCTGGGAACCACACTCAGGGCCCTGGGCCTGTAACCTGTTGACTCACCTCTCCTGCTCCACATCTCGAGTTTTTAGATCAACCTGAGAAGAATTATAAACTACATTCCACTGATCCTCGAAGTCATAACTCTTATGTCTTTGGTCAAGCTAATAAATGATAAAATGACTCTAAAGTTTATGTGAAAATGCACACTTGGTTTTTACACCGTGACTGCCTATATGAGCTGTTCACCAATACCCAAACCGTATATACATGTCCTGGTACAATTATGGAGAATAGGGCAGAAGGGCAGATAGAGTAGATTGATTCTAAAGGAAAAGAGATGATTTCAAATGAGAGGGAAATACCCTCTAAAATTCAGTGAGTGGTAAGAAAATCAAAACTCAAACTTTGCCAGTTTGTGTGTGGACTCTATTTGCTAAGTGCCATTATTCTGCAAGTCCTCATTTCTTTTCCAAACCTAGCTGAGAAATGTCTCTGATATCTTCTCTTTTGGGGTGTGTGAATGAGACACCAACAATTCTTGATCTGCAAATGACAAAGTTCAACATTAATACCTATGCTAGGTTTTCCCAATTTGAGGGGAAAACTGCATTTTTAACTGTCTGCATTAAAATGTTTTATATTCTAAGATGATCAAATGCTAAAGGAAATGCTAATCAAGATACCACAGATGTCAAACTAAACCAGCTGTTTCCAGCAAGTCTTCCCTGGTGAGAGGAGGAAGAGGGCCTGCTTGATGGTTGGGGCTCTCTGAAAGGAAACAGAGGTAAGGCTTCATTCTTTGAAGAGAAATAGATCCTGTATAGGCAGAGTAATATTCACTACCCCTAAGTTCCTCATGTCTTAATCCCTGAAGCTGCAGAATGTTAACTTGCAAGGCAAAAGCGATTTTGTAGATACAATTAGATGAAATGATTTCAAGGTAGGGAGATAAGTGTGACAATCCAGGTGGGAATGGTGTGATCCTTACAGTATTTATAAAGGAAAGGAACACAAGAGGGCCTGCCCCAGAATCCAGTAACTGCAGCTTCAAAAAGGCCAGGCCACTCATGCTGGCCCTGAAGCAGAGGAGGCTGTAGTCTAGCAGGAGTGGGCATCCTCTGAGGCCTGGAAGGGCAAGGCAGGGATTACAGCCACAGTTTCTCTGGGTGGAAGAGAAAACCTGCTCCAGAAAACCAGGCTTGAATGTACTCTATCCTTCAAAAGTGAACTGAGAGTAAATTCAATTTGAATCTCTATTCTTAAGGGGGAAAAATAAAGCCATATCTAAATTCAACACACTTTACTTGAGCAGTTAAAAATGACCAGAAGTTAATTTTGAAATGTAGAGCCGAACCTGCACTAGTCCCTAGTATAATAAATATATCATATAATTTGTAATTAAGGTAATATTTGCTCTTGCTCTCTTGTTCTCTTGCCTTCTTGTTCCGGCTCTGTCCCCTCACCCTTTCCTCATTTCCTTCCCCCATCTCTCCACATGCTCATGGCTGGCCTCTCTCTGCCTCTACTACCCTCCTGGCTCCCCTCCCCATGCCCTGAATAAACTCTATTCTATAAAAAAAAAAAAGAAAAAAAAAAGAAAAAAAAAGAAAAAGGGTAATATTCACAAAATCTTTTTTGTTTTTGAGACAAGATGACCACTTACGGGGTCCTGTTCTCCTAGAACTCTATGTAAACAAGGCTGGTCTCAGAGCTCTGCCTGCCTAGGCCTTCCAGAGTACTGAGATTAAAGGTGTGTGCCACCACACCCAATTTACTATTAAATTCTTAGTTCAAGTGTGTAAGGTAATGAATTTTATTTAACCCCCATTAATAAAAACAGATAACAAAAAGTAAACTTGTTTTTCATTAAGAAAAGATGCCACATTTGCTTACACTAACGCTACGCAGCAGAACCATGTGTGTCACATATACTTTAAATCTTGACAGTCACATTAAAATAACATAGATTAATTTTAACAACATACTCAGCCCAGTGTACGTCATGTATCATCATCTCAAGATGACAGCAGCACGAAATCCTACCCATGTACGAGGTGCCAGTCTTCTCTCTGGGCTTGGCCTCTGCAGTCTCAAGTGTGTATAGTGCAAATCTCAGCTCAGATTCCTTCATGTCTCCAACTAATGGTGCCTCAGCAGACAACACAGGTCTGCACATACTTGTTTTAGGGTTCTTAGTCCTGTCAATGTTAACGAAACTGCTAGGGTTGCACTAGCAGCTGCCCACCTGTTTTAGCTGTACTTAAGAAACAGAGCATTGTGTTAGGTGCATGACTATGGTCCAACTTCCATGGAAAGAATAGTGTGCTCATATCTGCCTTGACACCCATTTATCACAACACACAGGAGCCGAGTAACTGTCACCTTTTTGGTCTGGCCTCAGGCTGTAATAAGTAATAAGTAACAAGCGATAGGATAAACAGTGTAAAAAAATATATATATACTTAAATTTTGTATAAGATTTGAATTTTTCAATCTCAGAAGAATGAGAAAGAAAATTTACCATGTAACTTTAAAGGGAGAAATCAAAAGCAGATGGATCTCCTGGGTATGGCCAGAACACAGAAATTAAAAAATAAATGAAAAAAAGAAAGAAAAAACCCAACTAAAACCCATAAAGTGATAACAAGAAAAATAAATGAAGCCTTCTGGATACACATATTGCTAATTCAGTTTTAAGTACAGAGGAAAACATTTCACACCATCATTATCTATGAACGGTACTGAGAATCATACAGGCCCACTTAGTATTCTTCAAAGAAAATCTTTTGACCATATTTGGAAATAAATAATTTCTCTTCATGTGAAATCAAAAGCCAAGGCAATGGTCAAGAAACCAGAGCATCATTCTTGTGTCTGAGGAGGGAAAGTGTGTGCATCTTCCCACACTCCTTGAAGCCAGAGCCTGTCATGAGGGATGCACCTGAGAGAAGGAACGAGACCACCAGTCAATACACATGGCAGCCATCACAGAGACAGCTTTGTAGCTGGTGACAGTGAGTGAAGAGAGTGGATAGTACCACACTCAACAATGGGATGAACTCAAGAGAAAGTTCTTGGGCATGGGATGGTGCTAGCACAAACTACCAGCTCAGGGATCCTGGGGCTAAATGGCAGTCATCTCTCAGAGTTCTGCTGAAGAGTCCGTGAGACACCAGGGTGGAGATAAAAATCAGACTCACAGGTGGATGTACTCTATAATGTTTGCTTTTGACTTCTACTTCTCATTAAGGACCTTGCTTTCCCTCTGAAAAGATACTTTAAAGAACCCACAAGGAGAGCAATACTGTAGTTTGTTATTTAAATGGGACATTTTGAGGAAGACTGGAGCATTACAAATAGCTATAAGATAACAGGAATAAATGTGGGCTAATCTAAAATAAATGATCAGTCTATCTAGGTTACCTCAGGATTATGTTAACATCCTGCTGTTACTAGAGAAATCTGAGACTCAAGAAAGCTATGTATAACTCACACTCACTTTTCTAGATTCCTTTTGGGAAGTGAGCTCGTTTTGGGGGTTAGGAGTATTCTCATATATTTGATTTACACATTTTTAAAAGGCAAAGACTATCTTTGTTTCAGCTGCTCAGAATTTTTAGTCACAGCTGTTTTTATAGAGAGAAGAATAAAACGACAATCAATTCACAGAGAGTAATTTAAGAAATATGATTACAGCCTATTATCTTTTGCATAATTCAAAGGATAGGCAAAGCAAAAGGCAACAGTCAAACACGAGCCAATCAGTGCTTTGAAGAGCATAGCAGACTCCATAGGAAGTGCTAGAGAGGGTGAGCAGAGGGTGCAGGGAGCACTGGTCACCACCTTTCCAAATGAACTCACTCTAAAGAAGACAGCTTGGAGATGTAGCCCACTGCCTGAGTGCTTGCCTAGCGGGCCTAAGGTCCTGGGCTCCAGACCCAGCACAGGTAGGGGAGGGTATTTTTTTCCCTCTAGGATAATTTGGTTAAACATTAATTTACACATCACTATTACTTATTTCAGACTTATTTATGACTAGTCTTTTTCATTACTACCTAAACATTTTAATAAAGCTAATTTCTGCATAGAAAAGTACTCTGTTTAAAAGCCAGGGCAGGGCAATTGCTAAAACCACCGTACCACAATAAAGTCTTTCTGAAATTTTATAGTCAACTCCAAATATAGAAAAGAATGAGAAGCCAGGTGTTATGGTGCATGACTTTAATCTCAGCGCTCTGGGAGGCAGAGGCAGAGGCAGGTGGATCTCATAGAGTTCAAGGTTAGCCTAGTCTACATAGAGAGTGTTCCAGGACAGCCAGGGCTACATAGTGAAGCCTTGTATCAACAAACCAAACCAAAACAAATAAAGAAAAACCCAACCCAAACCAAAACAAACAAAAACAAAAAAGAAAAAAGAAAGGAAAGGTGTGTTCTTTCTTTTAGGTGGATCCCGAAGGAGACATTAAAGGTCTGACTCCATAGTCACATTTTTGAAAGCTTTGGAGTGAGGTTCAAAGGTCCCATCCAGGGTCTTCCCAACCCTTGATGCAGGTCCAGGGTGATTCTGAATTCTCTGCTTCACTCTGGATACACTTGTCAGTTACAAGTGTCTATACTGCCACTGCCAAAGACAACAGGGGCAGTGAAGACACTGCTTGGAGCTACAGAGGCAACACACAGCTTCAGAGTCCTCAGGGGGAAGAAGGCAGGCAGGTGCCATTATTTTAAAATGAAATTACATGGGAGAGGTAACCGGTTAAGGTGAGATTAAATATAGGTAGCAGGTGAATCCTGAAGTCAGTGAAAAGCCTTTAGAAAGATCAATCTCCTTTGCTTCACAAGATTTCAATCCTTTTTTCTGTAGGGAGCAATTCCTTAGTACCTGGGCACTTGCACTGGCCTTCCGGCTAGGATAGCTTAACAAAGGTTATCTGAAGTACACACAACTTAAAATCACAAATGTCTCAGGATAATCAGTGGTCAATGACCACACTTATTGACTTCACTTTCATCTTCATGTGCTTCAACCTCGAGGCCATGGGTATTTTCCCATTTGTAGCTAAATGCTTAATAAAAATAAATGTTCAGATGTACAAGCATCATAAGTTTTATGAGTTAGATAACACTCTAAGATACTTACCAGTTAAGTGCTGGAGGAAGGTCTGTATAGATATATTAATCTTTTTTTCTGTTTGTTTTAACTGAAAGCTGGAAGCTTAAAGTATAATTATGTCTTTAACAATGAATAAACACCAGTTATCGGACACTCTGTAAGGGAGGCGAGAGTATTGAGGCTTCAGAACAGTGTGTGTGTGTGTGGCCCTGCAGGTGGGAGGGAGGTGAGGGCTAGCAACTACTAAAGCGCAGGAATCTGCAGTGGATTGAAAAAGGTAAATGTTAACTCATTTACTGCATTCAGCTTTTCCTTAAATTATATATCTTAGAGCATCAATCATGGCCGAGGGCTATTTTGACGAAACTGATATGACCAAATAAAAAGTAGTTTTAAATTTACTCTTCAATAAGGAAAATAATTGAGACCGGAATGTCAGCCTTCCGAGAACACAGCAGAGACCATATACAGCAGCTTGCACAGCAATGCTACTCACTCTTAATATAAAACCTAACTTGTGAGCCCAGAGTGGCTGCATCGTGAGACTCACTCATCTGGATGTGACTCCAGGAGACAAAACACCTCACTACTCTGGAAGGAGCCTTGACAAAATTTATTCCAAAGAGAACAAGTGAGTTGGCTAACTGGGAGAAGATCCCTCACTGATTTCTTCTCAGTGCCACCTAGGCAGTTATTTCCCAAGCTGACTTGTTTCCTGGTGCTTCCTCTTTAAGGCAGCCCAGGCTGGCTGAGGAACCTTGCCTGCTGTTCTTGGAGCTGCCACATTCCTCTCTAGCTTCTCCTGCTTCCTGCCACCCTTTAAACATCAACAGCCTCTCTCTGCAGAACCTAACCCAAGGAAGACACTCGGCAGACTTGTGCGGCATGGGACCCAATCCTGTGCTCTGCTCCAGTGAAGCAAGTCTTAGGGGAAGCTGAGTGAGGTATGGACACGGGGCTTACCTTGGAGCCGCGCTCATTAAAGATTATTTCCACATCTAGGATTTTGCCAAACTGCTGCAGAGACAAAAACAAAAACATTTCTTTAAGGTTAGCCTTTGTCTAGACATTAGCTTTTCTTCTGAAGGAGACAGCTTTTGTTTTCTTTGAACTAGTGCACATTTAACTGCAAGTCCCTGAGTGTCAGGAGATCCAAAGTGAGCTTCTGAAAGCCACTCCCCACCCCCAGTGGGGGACAGGGCTAGTGGTTCCTTCATTCCCTCAGGCGCATCCACATTCACCTGCTGAAGTCACTGTCCCAGGACCTCACCGTGCTGCCCTACTACACCTGTGTGGCCAAGGCCTGGCACCTTTCTAACTACTTCCTTATTTTATTGTCAATTGTATCTTATCAAGCAGAATGGGTACACTGTCAGGGAGGTCTGCTTCTGTCCCACCTCCCTTAAAAATCATGCTAAATTCAGGTAATATAAACAAAATGAAAAAAGAAGCCAGAAAATAGAGATCAACCATGACCTTCTATGCTTTTCCTCAAGCATACAGACATGGCACCAGATGCATGCCACACACTGCTTTTGTCTTTTGAAACTGTGGATGATTGATCCCAATAAATATGAACTTGTTGGGATTTCTATAGGTGATACAATGTTCTGTCATACTTAAAACATTTGGACATAAAGGATGATTCCACTTATTTGCCATTTTAATAGTTCTGTAACAGATATCAGGAATATTTTTAAGTAACAATCTGTTCAATAATTATTTAAATATCGCAGAGCTAAAAGATACAAAGCCACAAAGCTCTATTCTCATGTACACCTATACAAGGATTATGCTTGGATTAGGTGCTAGCGGGACAACCTGCTAACCCACAGCCTGAGGGGGAGGCTGTGTAGATCTCCCTAGCAGCACTGCACCTGACCTGTCCCCCATTAACTGTTTCATTTGAATTTAAAACCAAATTACAAGGTTTGGAGGTTGGAGAAAAAGCTCTGAAAAACAGAAAAACATAACCCAGAAATGCTGTTTTCAAACTAAAGTGTCAGTGTCTCAATCAGTGAAACATGCTTAGATTCCGTGCCTGGCTTGTAAGAACTAACCTGGAGCGTTAGCCTTTTTAGGAACCTTTTCTATTGCACTCCCCCCAAACCCAGAGTCTCTTTGTCTATAGTCCTGGCCTGGCTGCCCTGGAACTTGCTCTGTAGACTAGGCTGTCCTTGAACTCAGAGATCTGCTGCCTCTCTGGCACTGGGATTAAAGGCATGCACCACCACAGCCCTGCCTCCATTTCATTCTTATAACAGTTGTGTTATTTGTGTGTGTGTTTGTGTTTGTGTGTGTGTGTGTGTGTGCATGCTCATATCTGTGTGGGTGCCCCTGAGGACCAGAAGAACAGTGTTGGAACTCTTGGGCCTGGAGTCATGGTGGTTGTGACCCAGCACAGGGGGCTAGGAACTGCACTGTGGATTTCTGCAACAGCAGCCAGTGTTCTAACAGCCAGGCCATCTCCCCAGCTTTCAGAACAGCTTTTTGGAGCAAAGTCTGCCCTCCTTTTATGGTTAAGAACAGAGCTGAGGGAGGTGTGTTCACAGAGCCAACTGAATGCAGCATGGAATTCCTGCTCTTTTCCAGGGTTACTGTTTAAGGATGGGCATCAACTATGTGAAGAAAAGAGACACCTAGAGGTCTTTTGAAAAGAAAAGAAAATTCCCACTTTATGCTTTAGGAAAAGGTATGAGCCATTTTGCAGAATCACTGAAGGGCCTAGGCAGCTCTTGGGAGGCCACCATCCCTCTGGCTTGAGAGAAAAACCTGACTGCCATTCTCCACACTCAAGACCAGGTCTCTACAAGTCTCTGATGGTCAGAGGAGCAGCAAGCAACTCATTCTTCTCTCTTCTAAAGACGGAAAACAGCTTGTCACCATGGTATGTGGCGAAGCTCTTTAAGTACTTCAAGAATGTCATTTCACCTCAATTCCAACCTTTAGTGGCAAAAGTATATCCAGGTACTCAGCTGTGACAGAGCTTGGCTCTGAGCCTTTCCATCGTGAAGTGGCATGGCCAATACAGAGCAGGGCATCTGTTCTGACAAGCAGCCATCAGCTGTCCTCAGGAAATGTTTGGGGGACTATTGACTCTTTCTTGTCCCAGGTCAAGCTAATCACCAAAATAAAAGAGACAGCAACACACAGCCTTAGAAAGAATCAGCAGCTGCTTACCTTTAACAACATGAATTTGTGCTACTGCAGCTGTGTGTTTGATGGTGACTTTGGGAGGACGTACACAGTTGAAGGAGCTCATGGGGTAGAACCAGTGTTCCACAGCATATTTTAGTTGCTGGCCTTGACACTACTGAGGGAGGCAGGAGCGGCACACAAAGCCCTGGGTATCACCTGCTTTTCCAGGTGTGTTAATTCATTTTCTTCTAACACTCGAGTTAGAGAATTCATCTTATAAAAACTCTATTTTTAGATATAAACTTCAAATCAAGGTTTAAAAAGAGATCACATGAATTTCCTAAGGTCCTAAGTAACTAGGATTTGATTCTGGTTTCTCTAAAATCCCATTCCGTATCTGCTTCATTTAAATGAGCCTCCTGTAAACCTGAATTATCCGCATTACATGTGTCCTGAGACAGTACAGAGGTAGAGAGCTGAACAAGAGAAATAAGGAGGACAGTGAGGGCGGGAGGTGGTGATGGGTCAGGAGAACAAGCATGTTGCTGTATTGAGAACCACACAGAGTCATGTGGGGACCTTGTACAGTGCACAGGTTCACACTGCACTCTGGGCCAGCTAAATCACACCTGGGCTGGGCAGTATTCTTTAGGCTTCCCAGAAGTTTTCTAATGCACCTACAGGTTTAGGAATCACGCTATAAAACACTGGATGTTTGTTCTTCCAGTGAAACCCACAATACTACTGATGTTTACTAAGGTTGGTGTGTGAGGAAGGTGGTTTGGACACTGGATGTCACATCTTACAAGAACCTTCTCAGTCCTAGACAACAGCCGAATGCAGCTTGTGTGTCTACACGACAACAAGAAATGCAAATGTCTGGGGTAGGTACGGTGACCAGGAAAGGTTTCCAGACAGCGATTGAAGGTTCTCTTTTAACTTCCTACGGTTTTACCTTGAAGTCCTAATGACTAATAATACCTCTGGTAGATTAAGTTGTTTTAATTAAATCCATAAGAAGATATTGGAGACTTACCCCAAACATCTGCCGGAGGTCAGGGTCCCGGAATCGGAAGGGAATATTAGAGACATGTAGTCGCTTAGGCGTGGATTTACTCTCTGAATTTTCACTACTTTGTGTCTGTGACTGTTGTCCGTCTGTCTGTGCTCCACCTTCTGTCTGCTAAAGAAATAAGTAAACACAAGGAACAATGAAAACCTGCAATGATCTCCTAAGAAGATGTGAGTGTATTTCTGCTCCACTGCAGTAACTGTCAAACAGGAGACCTGCAAGCAAACACTGGTTACTGTTCTTTTAAAGGAGAAAAGGCCCAAGGTGTCATTGATGTTCAAAATGCTTCTAGTCTACAAACAAAATTTGGGTTTTCTGATTATTTTTAGTATATTAGCAAAATGGGGGCATAGGCAGTGACCCCTCTGTGGTTTGCTGAAGCCCACGTGGAGATGTAAAATTAGCTCTTCTTTTCTCAGGCTCCAAGTAGAGTCTTCTATTTTGAGACCTCTTTGTTTTGGAAACAAAGCATCCTTTGTGTGTGGTTGCAGAGGTCACTGCCTCTTCAGCTTGATCACCTCAGACTCTCAAGGAAACTAGGAAGGCAGAATTAACAGTCTAGTCTATTCCTCTTATTGGTTTTGGAGTTTATTATGCTGCTGTCAAAAGTACTGCAATGATATTACTTATGAACATAGGAAGATGTACTAATGACAGTCTATTTGCCTAAAAATTGAGGCAGCTTGTTATTTTGAATTCATCTTTATTTTCATCTCTCTGATTCAATTCCATATGACTCTGGTATTACGGACCCTCATGCTGGAGAGATGGCTCAGTGGTTAAAGGCACTGGCTGCTCTTCCAGAGGTCCTGAGTTCAGTTCCCAGTACCTACATGGTGGCTCACAACCATCTGTAATGTGATCTGGTGTGCAGGAGTACATGAAGATCACTTGTATGTACTCAGAGACATAATAATAAATCTAGGGACCCTCATGTTTCCAATCTAAGGCTTTATGGGACCCTGGCTATTAGACAACACACTGGTCTGTTTGTTTCCATGGTGTCAGAGCATGAACATCTTTTTGTTTTAAATCTTACTGTGTCTTTTTGAGCATATGCACAAGGTTGGGTATGAACCATCTCGTCTGCCTTGGGGAGTAAACAGTTTTAATGAAACATACCAGATACACATCTGATCTAATTTTTCCCACACAAAGTTCTCTAAGTTCCTAAGTTGATAAACACTATTTGATAGGCATTTACATTTTATAGACACATTCCTTGTAGTCCTCATCTGGTAATTTAGCCTTATGTTTTTACCATCCCATAGACAGTGCATGCCAACCCTGACAATTTGAGCTGATTAAAACAGCATGCTCTTAAGGACTGAAACAGCTGCTCTTGCTGTCTGACTTGAGACAGGCTGAGTGTAGTGTAGTGATTCTTCTGGGCACATAGGAAGGCTTGTGTGGCTTGTGTTTAGGCTGAAGACCCTGAGTCAGAGGTGCTTTTTGTGTTCAGATGATAGCAGCCACCTTGAAATGAAGTCAATGACTTAAATATAAAGGATAATCAAGAATTAACTTAGAATGAACATTTGCTTTTTAAGTATTAATCTAATGATGGCAGATCTGTACTTCATTTCATATAGGCCTTGCAGGTACCTTAAACGTATAATGGCTTATATGATGTAATAAAAAAAAAACAAAAAACAAAAAGGGATGGGTTATAGAAAAATGCTCTGCAAAAGTGTAAGGTTTTTAGTTGCCAATGGGAGCAGAAGGCATACTAAAAACAAACTCCATGCAAAGATGAAACAGCACCATGGGTACCAGCCTACAGTCAAAGCAAGAAGCATCAACTGTAGTGAAAGCGTATCCAAGCACCTTTCCATTTGCCTCTTCTGTCTCAAAGCTGAACCATATAAGCCTCTTCAAGCCTTGAAAGCACCAGATTTAATCTTCAGAAAGCCAAAGTGCCACACAAAATAAAAAGATTGGTTCTACAAGGTCTAAGCCCATTTTACATATGACTTACCCTGCTGGCCACCTGGCCATGTAACCTATCACGGTGCACGCACACTGGCAGGGTAAATAGGGAGGCATGATTACTTCAGAGGGTGCTGATGTAGGCTTTTAACTCTTGTTCTTGAGGGCTCTTTTCTGTCTTAAAAACTTTAGAAGGTTATAAGCTACAGTGGCTGATTCTGTTCTGCAGTGAGCACTTATTATTAACTGTAGAAAAATGTGACAGCCATTTCCAGAATTATTAAGTCTTCTAAGGTAATTTAAAATGGAGATTTGCTAGGAAGGCTGTGGTGGTGGTGGTACAGGCTTTTAATCCCAGCACTCACTTACAAGGCAGAGGAAGGTGATCTCTGAGTTTGAGGTCTGCCTGGTCTAGAGAGTGAGAACCTGTTTCAAAAAACACCAAGCAAGCAATCAGCTAAATAAACAAATAAATATTTAACATCAGTAAAAATACACAAATCAGGGGCTGAAGAGATGGTTCAGTGGTTAAGAGAACTTGTTGCTTTTGTACCCACATGGTGGCTCTCAACCCTCTGTAACTCCAGTTCCAGGGATTCTGATGCTCTCTTCTGGCCTCTGCAGGTGCCAGGTGTACTTACAGTCATGCAGGCAGACACTCAAGACACTGAAATCATAAGCACGGGGCTGCATGAATCTTCCTCAGAAAATATATGAAATCAGAGTAAGAGGCAGGGCCCACTCCAGCCCTCAGTCCTCACCAAAGTCATCACTGTGCTAATCTGCATACCTGCCCTCCCTTTCTTACGGTACACCACTGTATAAATAAACAGAATTTATCTGAGTTGCTGCCTGTTAACAGAATGCTCCTGTGAGCATCTCGTTCCCATCTTTTGGTACTGGTTGAATACACACCCAGGAATGGGCCAGTGAGGTCAGTGACATGTGCACACTCAGCCTTAGTAATACCACCCAATCAAAGCGGCTCTACCATGCTGGACTTGCATCTGCTGGGCATGTGCTGTAGGTCCATGCAACACAGTTGGTGGAGCTATTTTGGTGGGAAATGATAGCTTTGCAGTGAAGCTTTTCATACATTTTTGGGACATAGGTAATTTTCTGTGAGATACCTATACAAATCCTTTACCCATTTTCAATTGGGATGCTGGTTTTTGCTTATGATTGTAGGTATTCTTTATAAAGCAAGTAATGAGCCCATAAATATATGTGCTGCAATGAATGATTCTAACGATTATTTTACTTACTGTGTGAGTGGTGTGTGCGCTGTGTGTGGGGCTGTACTTGTCCATCTCACCAGCCATCTCACCACTGGCCTTCAGGCAGGGAGGGCTCCTGCATCCTGGGAAAGGGCTTCAGATTGTCTTTCCTCTCTCCTTATACCACCTGGTCTCCCCTCCCCTCTCCTCTTACATAATTTCATTTTATATTAATTTATTAATGTAAACAGAAGTTCCCTACAGGATAACTGTAACTATTTCTTGAATTCATACTGAATGTTAGACCTGACATAAGTTTACTAGCTGTCAGATGCTAGCTAAATTTTATTGTAAAGTTTCAATAACCCTACACACTAGGTAACTTTTTTCTTAACAAGCATAGTACGTGCTATTTTAATTCTCATTTTCCTGAGGAACAAAAGACTAAGAGAATGGGTCAGAGACTGAGGAGCCAAAGCAGATCGCTAGCATGAGTATGAGGTGACTCAGAGCAGTTCAGGGGAAGCCGGAGAAGCCACATTGAACCAGTCAGTGTGGAGAGGCCTTCTGGGCCAGAACAGCAGAGCTCAATCAGCCAGCCAGAGATCAGAATCAGCTACGAAGGGATGAGCTTATTCATCAGTGAGTCTTAGAGGCTGAAAACATTCTAGGCTTAGATAAGATTGTATGGAGTCTAGAAGCTTCCAGGACCAGGCCTTGGTTAGCAGACAGAGACTGGAAGCCTCTGGAGATGATTACGTCAGTTGAATCAAAGGTACTTTTACAGGCTTCAGTCACTGGCATCAACTGCTGTAGCATTCATTTCTTTGGAAGATCTCACGGCTTTATGAAGAAAAGCACACATGGTTCTTGCACTATGTTTTCAGTGGGCAGAGGTCAAGGTTCCATACAGGTCCTTTCCATGGGGCTGCACAGCCACTGACAGCAGCACAATGGAAAGGAACTGGTTCTGGAAGTGCATGATTCAGTACAGACATAAGAGGGGGGGCTTTTCAAGTTGCTGCAGAGGCAGCACCTAGGAGTTACCATGTGAACTGCTTGTTCTTTAGAGGGGTTTCTCCCAGGTTAGTCTTGAACTCCTGGGCTCATGTAGTCCTCCTGCCTCAGCCTCCTAAGTAGTTGCCACCACCCTGGCTAAAATTAGGTAATTATCAACAATTTCTATTTGGATAGACTCACAATCTGCAGAAAAAACAAACTGTTTTAACTTTTATATCATATTTCAAAACTCATATTATTCAAATCCAATTTTGAGTTGAGAATGTGATGTGTTTGTGTGCGTGCGCATGCGTGCGCACACAGTAAGTGTGTGCTATGGTGCCTCCTTTACAAGTCCAGGATTGGACTCACTAGGCATACACAGCAAGTGCCATCTCACCCTTGGGATGCCAGAGCAAAACCAATTGGGAAGATCACAGCCTTTAAATGCAGGTAAGTAATAACTTTAGATGAAACTAAAAACACTGAAAAACACAAAGCAGCATGCGGTGCCAGGCATCAGCTGGTGCTCTGTGGGAAATCTGGAGACAGTAAGCAAAGCACAGTCATGGGGTCCTGGCTTTCTACGAGGTGAACTCACTTTCTCCCACCTCGCGTATCTCACACTCATCACTCATTTATTAAGTCATTTTTTTTCCCTTTTTGGAGTAATACAAGGTCTTGCTATAGCCCAGACTAGCCTTAAACTAACAAACCTCCTGTTTCTACCTCTAAAGCACTGGGATTTCTGCAATGTATTATCATGTACCCATTTTATCTTAAAATCCGCTTTGGAAAATTATGTTTTATCAGAATGGATTGATTTTAGGGCACAGAATGACGATGGCTTGCTAACTTGCACTGATATGTCAGTGCCTTAGTTAAGGTTACTATTGCTATAACAAAATACCATGACCAAAAGCAACTCGAAGAGCAAAGGGCTTATTTCACTGAAATTCCATACAA